GCAGGGGGCACTGTGTTTTAGTGGAGGATCGTATTGTTCCTCTGATCCTTTGCTCAGGTAAGTATGTTGTTTTAAAGGGAATTGAGGAAAAATCTCTTTCACAGGGCAATATTTCTTTAGTACCATCAGTAATGGGGGTGGATTGGGAAATGAACCGTTCCCCATTACACTGGGACCTAACTGCTGCACAGCCCATGCTTTCCAGTCAAAATTTGATTGCCTTGAATCCTGCAGATTATGGAAAATAAGAAAAGGGCCTAGTAAAATTTATGGGTTTTAATCATAAACCAATAGAATCACAGTAAATCTATCATAAGCATGCAGATATGGACCCAGAGAAAAGAGAGGAAAGCAATAGGCCCGTTTTTTCCTAGAGGAACTGCATGTACCCATGGTGGGGCCAGGGAGACGGGGTGCAGGGCTGCTCCTCTGGCCATCTCCTCTGGGGTGTTGAGCCCCCACACCTCAAAGCCTTCCTCCTCTGCTGTGTCCTGCAAAAACCTGGTAACAGGGATGGCACTGCAAAGTCCATGCCCTGTCTCATGGCAAACCGGCCAGGCAGGGCTGGAGAGCATGTGGGGAGTGAGGAAGGAGGAGGTGGGAAAAGCGGAACAAGGCAGGAGAGTGGAGGAAGAGAGGGAAGGAAAGGGAGAAAGGAGAAAAGGAGGTGAAGCCCGAAGGTCTTTCCCTCCTCCCCTCCTGCCACTGTGCTGCTTGCCATGGAGGCAGCAGGATGGGACCCTGCCAGGGGAGGAGGGAGGCAGAGATGTGGGGGAGAAAAGTGTGTGCAGAGAGGGGACTGTGGGAAGCACAGATGTGGCGGGGAGAGAAGAGCACCTGACAGAGAGAAATGGCAGGAGAGCAAGAGAGAAGCACAGAAGGCAGAAAGTATTTAAAAAAATAAAAAAAAGGAGAGAGCGTGCGATAAGGAAGAAAAAAGGGAGAGAGTAAAAAATTGACTCTGAAGCAGAGATAAGGGAGGGAGGGCAGTTAGCGAGAGAAGGAGTAAAATTAAGTGCGATAAGGCCTGATAGAAATGGGGGAAGGCAGCAAGCCCAGGCAGCGCAGCCAGGGTCTGCGGGCAGAGAGCCGGGGGGGTGGGCTGCAGGGGGAAGGAAGGGCCAGCCCGACCCCTGCTTGTCACCCCTGCATAGGCACAGGTGTCGATCTCAAACTTGGCTTTTTGCGCTGCTCTACGTGCCTCTGACGTTCCGGGGAGAGGAGCTGAGTGGGCGCGGGGATTGAGGAGGGTGGCTGGGGAGTCAGCGGGTATAAATGTCTCTCCCGCAGGATGCTCGTAACTCTGCTCCTGCCTCGGCAGCGGAAGGGGAAAGCCGGGTGCCTGCCAGCCACAGCCCACAGTGGTGGTGGGAAATGTGGAGCCTGGTGAGGAGGCAAGTGCCTGGGGTGGGTGATGTGCCCAGGTTGGAAGTGCTGAATAACCCCTCGTCCTCCTCCCTGCCTCGTCCCAACACAGGGTGCCTGTCATGGAGATCCCCGTGGGGCTCCCATCAGTCTTGGAAGTAGGGGAGGTAAGGTGCGTTTCGCAGGCAGCCTCCCCTCCTTGCCCTAAACACATCTCTTCCTGGGTGGTTTTTTTTTGCTACCTCTTTTAAGTTGTTTTATTAAGTGCTTTTTATTTATCCTTATTAAAAAAAAAAAAAGTGAGAAGAGCTGTCTGGCTCTGACACATAGCCCGTGGTTACCTGAAGAGCAATGCTGGAACCCAGCCCCTGCTCTCTCATCCCTGATTAAACTGCAGAAGAAACACACTGTAAATTTCAGCAAAGGAGAGAAAAAGAGTTGATTCTTTGGGGTTTTTTTCCCTATCTTTACCAGCCATGAAAATTGCTGAGCCGAGATGCTGGCCACTCTGAGATGCTTTTCTTCTGCTCCATCCATCTGCTTTAATCACATGGTGACTGAAAAAAAAAAAAAAAATCCAGTTCACAAAGGATCAAAGATTAAAAAATCAGTGTGGATAATAAACAAACTGTGTGGCAGGCAGCAGGGCCACAAGAGCATCGGACAAACTCACTAATGAGGGACTTGGAGCCGCAGCTCGGGTGCGGGGCAGGCAGCACGGCTTTACCCCCAGGAGGGTTTCGAGCAGCAGAGGTGGTGGGTCTGGGGACACATGTGGGTCTGGGTGGCAGGTCCTGGGCTGGGAAAAATCCTGCGCTCGCACAGCCCGAGACCTTTTGCAGAAAAGAAGTAAATTTCTCTCTTCTTTTCTTTTTTTAAAGTTTCTTTCTAACAGTGAAAGACTTGATTTTTCCCTTTGATTGCTGGGACACTGTAGTATGCTGCAAATACCTTGTTGGACCTGGTTATTAGTATTTTTTTTTTATCTGCATGTGTTGAATTAGCTCTTTTAATTACAGCATTAAAAAAGGATAACTGGAGTCAATTAAGAAGCTCTTTCAGTTTGCCAGTGTTAATAGCTGTCCAGCAACACGGAGGCCCCCCTCCACCTCTCTGCCGTCTGTTGAACCGCTGATTTGAGTTCTTGTCAGTCCTGGCAACGAGGCTCAAACGGAGATTTCTGCACCTAACGTGCCGCTGTACGTGGCCTTCTCAGCTGCGCTCGGCTGGGCATCTTACTCCGGAGGGCTGCGGCCTCGGTGCATCCCTGCCTCTCCCAGGGGAGTGCTGCTCCAAGCCGGTGCTCAGCGTTCCCGGAGCCGAGCGCACCTGCCTTCAGCTTCAGGCCTGGGTTTGTGTGTTGCTGTTTGTGGTTTCATATTTAGCTCATTGAAATGTTGATTAAACACCGGTGGGAGGGGAAGCTTGCAAAGAAGCATTTTGCTTTGGCTCTTTTAAAAAGCAAAAGGCTTTTAAAAAAATGTTTTGGTTTCAAAGTTATAAAGGAAAGATGGGTTAGAGATGAGAAACTAAGAAATCAAAGCTCCTGAAACCCGCTGCAGAGAAAGAAACACAAAATGTTTTGTTTGAAGATGAATAGAAAGCTGAAACCAGCAAAAAATCCCCCCTCCCCACAAGCACAGATGTTTCAGGTTGGTTCTTCTAGATTGGCACGTTGCTGGAAGAAAAGCAAATCCATTCTTTTCCCTGTCGGCGCTCCAAGTTCCTGTCGCTTATTTTTTATCATCTTGTAGTGCCTTTGATCCCTGAAGGTTCCTTAAGTGCTTTACAAATCAAGCATGCAAATCTCGGCTTATCCACCTTGGAGATGCTGCTGAGGCTGGGCGGGCCAGGAAGCCGCTTGCCGGTGCGGTGCCACCAGTCCTGGTGGCAGACGGGAAGGATGGGAAGCACCCGCTGCATCAGTAACGCTTATAAAAACCTTTAGTGCCCATATTACCATTGTTTGCAGGGATGTTTTGTGCTTCCAGCACGGCCACAGGCCATCAGGCTGTGCTGGGGTCCCCAAGCCACGGTACCAGCTGTGTTTCTGCCATGGAAAGGCCCCGTGGGGAGGGCTGGCCGTGACCTTCGCCCTGCTCTGCACCTTCTAGGGGTTGGGAAGTTGGCACAAACCAACTGGGGAAGCGCTGAGCTGGTCTGATGATGCTCCTCCTATTTTCAAAGCTTGACTTCGGACATCTCTTTTCCCATAGCTCTCGGTCTCTTAATCTCGTTCTGTGGTTGCCCTCCTGACTTGCTCCTTTTAATTCACTTGCTGTATGACACTTTTATGCTGATGCTTTCTGTAGGCTGTGCCACATCTCGCTGCTGTAGGTAGCTCTGGTCTCAGGGCAGAGTGGCGCTGTCACACCTCTCTTGCAAGGGATGCACGGGTCAGCACAACCCTGCCCCGGGGGCCAATTTAACCCCCATTCCTCCCCTTTTCCTCGTTGAGACAATACAAACCTCCCAGACCTCCTGATCCCAAGTACTAGAGCCGAGCAAAGGGAGGTCGCTGCCTGGTGATGGGCATGCTGGAGCTAGCGCAGCCAGCACGTTACACCCTGCGCCACCTCCCTGCTGCAGCCCTGTGCCTGTTCTCCTGCGGCTCAGGCTGTGTGTGTGTTTATAATAAAATATGTAATTTTATTTGTTTTCAGACAAGGTCTCCTGCAAGCCTGGAAGCTAAATTCCCTTGGACGTGCCTGAAGGTGCTTTTCCCCGAGTCTGGCTGCCAAAGGTCAGGTCCAGAAATCACCGTGAGAATCATTACAGGCAGGTGGGGAGCAGCGCTGGAGCTTCTGGGGCTGCTGGGGGCCGGGGGGGGCCCGGGAGGGCGGGGCCG